TCTCGTATTACTTGGCATATCAGTATAGACTAAATAATAACACTATATAAACATATGGCTTGTGGCTTGAAGAGAGTCGGTGTAGAAGATGAAATGTTGTTGAAGTTGTGACGGCCTTGCTGCGTGCAGTACTGTTGTGTTTCCCCTCCATATTCTGTTGTCTCCATCAGTAGGACCCGTGCCAGAAATAGATTGATAACAGATTGATACACCGAGTCTCCCCTGTGGTGACCACCTCTCACACTAACCAATGTTAACAAATAACATTATTGACGCCGACACGTGGAAATATCAACGTGTCTTTCTATTGGCAGTGTGTGTTATTGGTGATTGGGTCAGCGCCCACACAATACAAATATCAACAACAACAGCAATAATAAATATAATAAAGTCGACTAAACCATTTCGATAAACATAAGCAATTTCTGCTAAAATAATCCGAGTCCGTTGTACGATTCCGACTATATCACGAGCATATGTTTGTGAATCACAACCAAACACTGCTCAGTGTATGGCTCTGAGATACATGGCGTGTGTCCATCTGTGTCAAAAAGAAAATGGAAAGGTAATTATCCTTATTTGCCCACTGGAAATGTACTGAAAACTTTAAAATATGGAAATATTCAGATAAGTTCAAAATGCTGTCTATTCGTGTTGATTTCTGTCACGTTCAAGTTGTGGATTTCATACATGTAAATGAAGTACATAATTATGGCAAGAATGAGAGAAAAGGTCGAGAAAACTTAACCATGAGCAAGACTTCAACCCAAGAAATGTTATGCCCACATATGGCATATACTATATCTCCTACCTAGCAAATTCAGCTTGGGTCAGATTTTAGAGAAACACTTCACCTCTTTATGATCAGCTCTTTCAACATTAAGTGGGATGCGTCCAGTTCATGCAAGTGTTTAAATAAACAGCATCTCATTCATTCATGGTCATATAAATACATTTGATAACTTTTATAACGATTTCTGAACGTTTCGCTAATTTCTTAAATTACGCTGATCTCAGGGTACAAAGGGGAACTTTATCCTACTGTGTCCTGTTTATTAATATGATCAAGTATTTCGAGCGAACGTATACACAGATTATGAATGTAGATTATCTCCTTTTAGGTTATCTAACTAATTAAAACAAATAATAATGTTCTTATGGTGATGGGAGTCCATGACATAGGTAAATTTAAAAGAGTGTGTTTGATAAGATAAAAACACCCTTTCTGAGGCTGCTTCAGTTTTATTTTGTCCCTTGCTCCACAATTCAGCTCAGGATTTTTGACATTTTATTTCAGTTGTGAAAGTATCCTACTAATTGTGGTATCGTGTACAAAGAAGAGCAGATATACACACATGAAAATACAACACCTTTCTATCAATGTAATACAGATTTGTTTTAAAGTTTAGATTCTAACCCAGAGTAATTTAGAAATATATTTATCATAATTATTCCTTCCTAAAAAGAAAAAAAAAATTGACGTGACATGGAAACGTCGTGACAGATGTAAGATGAGATCTGTTTATATCGAGATTTTTGTTTGGTTTGTTTGTTTGTCGTTTAACGCCACACTATATTCAATATTTAAGCTATATATCATACCTGGACCAGACAATCCAGTGATGAAACCATGTACGCATCTGGGATACCTTGACATCCATCAACCAAGTCAGCAAGTCTGACCATCTTATCCCGTTAGTCACCTTCCCTAACAAGCATGGGTTGCTGAAGACCAATTTGTAACCCGGACCTTCCTGGGGGTATGTTTAGATGTGTCGATATTATACTGAAGAATCTAACAAACTATGGACAAATGGAACAAACAAACAAAAAAACGAATTGAAGAAATAAAATAACTGACAGCATTCTTTTTTCAAATCTATGTCGCCATACTAAAATTTCTTTGCGAATATTGCTCGCATTTTCAACAGATACGTGTTCATTATGAAGAATGTACACGTACTGCATTGACGTCATACTGCCCATAGCTAGGCGATATCTTTTCAGTAGCCTTAAGCCTCACTGAGCATTATATGGTTTTTTTCAGTGGGATTGACTTTTATAGTTTGTATGTTTTTTTGTGTGTTTTTTTTGCCAAGTGGCACATATCAACTTGATGTATTTAAGCAAACACTTGAAGATGACGACGTCCATTGTTCATGACGTTACATAAGGTATTTTTTCATGATTAAGTCGATATCTCCACTTGACAATTTTCGACATTTTATCAGACAAAACACCATTGGTATGACATAGTATATGAATTGCCGCAACCCTGTTTCTATATGGACTGCAAAAACATATCTACTAGTATCTATTATGAATCACCTGGTCTGTCATCCCTGAAACAAATATATCCAATATACGCTATATTAATAATATTTTGCAACTCTAGATTACTCTAGTATCTGAAAATGAAGACTATAATGAACTATATTTAAACAACTGTTTTATCTGTAAAATATGTTCATGTCACAGACTAGATGTTAGTGAAAGAAACACCTACTCGCAACTCGAAGGACGGATCAGCTGTCCCTCGTGAAATAATGTTGAAAGCAATTCAATGCGGACATATAATCCGTAATTCTCTACAGTTCGTACGTTATTCTGTAAATAATTACTTTTAATAAATTCCCAAAATCAAGCAAACTGCAAAACACAACGTATCATTTGTCATCTGGTTTTCAAAGAAAAACACATAAATCTACATTGTATTGATTTACATGTAAACCTAATATCCAGATGATACAAACAAACACAACACTTTTTTCAGTTAACGCAGTTCAAGTGTCGTATATTCATGACAACATCAGTGTCAGTGCCACGGAGTGGACAACGGTCTCTGTGTATGATGTGACGGCATGAGTTACTTGATACCCTCATTAGCCCGGAACATCTACCAATGTATAGCCACCACTTGCACATGGGGAATGTCAGCAATTCTATGTAGACACTGTTGGCGAGGATTCAGACATACACAAACATCAGCAGCAGCAATATGGTCATCTCTAGCTGTCATTACTGACACCCCGTGACGGTGATTGATGAGGATGGGGATGAGGGGACGGGGTGGCTCCCCCCTGAGGAAGATCGGGGAGGAGTATACCTGTTGCATGATTCTAATTAACAACCTCGGTGGGGATTCTGACTAATTATTTATTCTTCCTGCCCGTGGTGAATTTACTATATTGATCGTTTTTGCAGGGGATACATGATCGTAGTATACTGGTGTAAGTAAAAATATTATCGAATCGGGTTATACAGAATATTTACATTATCACCCTGAAAAATTACACATTCTATGAATGATGAAATATATACTGTAAATAAATTCCCGGGCGAAAGAAAGTATTCACCCATGTTTGATAGTGGCTAAAACTGAAAACAAATAATGGTTATTCAATGGTTATGTTCACCAATGATCATCATTATTGTCAACCCCGACATAAATGCGTCTTAACAGAGGGGACAATCATTATGAGCATTTGTATGTTTGATACGGGTACCATTGTTGTGCTGTTATCAGTGTTTCGCCATTTTCTGCCATCTCATGTTTTGATAAATTGTGTTGTTGTTTGGTCAAATCCAATTTTCAAGTGTATGTTTTCTTTTGCCAGGAAGTTTATATTAGGTAATAGTTAAAAAGTGAGAAGCCACGTATGTTGTCTACAAGTATGCGATGAAGATGAAATTTCGAGTTAGAAAAGACAAATCAAACATTCATTGCCACATGCCATTTTAAAGGCAAAAATGACAATACGTGACTGTTATCACCGTCCAATCTCAAATGTCTGGAATATCCTGTCAAATTGTCACATTTATTCAATTTAACTTTTGTTATCTCTGCTAAACAAATGAACGGTGTGAATTGCTAATGAAATTGTCATCTGTCAGTATGATGTTTAAGTTCGTTTGTAATTCTATCAGAGTGTGTGAACGTTATGGAAATGGATATTTTAACCTCATCTTTTCTGTCTACAAAAAGAATCTGTTCCCGAAATGATGTATTGCAAGATAATACTAAAAAGACCCATTGACCCGCCTAATGATCTGCTAACCATTCCAGAGCTCTCAGTTATGCAAGTCATGTTCCTTATCTACCCACGAGTAAATAATCAGTAGCCTCCTTCTGTGTACTGTACCAAGTCATGAGAGGGACAGTAGGCGCATCGTAGTCTTTCTTTACAGACCCTAGATCATCTACATATAAACCAGGAACCTTCATTCCATTTGCATCCCCTCCCGAGCACTAGCAGTGTATTCGAAACCCCTTTGCAGCTCTGGGCAGACTTGAGGGTTCATTTATACTCCAGGGTTCTTTTATTTTATTTTTTTTATAAAACCTTATACATACCTATATAATTCGGAGACTATATGTTAATCTATCGTGTCCGATAGTACCCGATAGTAGTATGTCAACCAAACAAAACTAAACAAAGCTGCAGTTTCCAGTTTGAAGTTGTGTGTCAGGTTTAATAAAAAAATTAATCCTCTGAATATCAGAGCCTAAACGGGATGAGAATGGGATTGTTTGAAAACAAATGTGCTCTGCAGTCTGCCAAAAATCCTAACCCCACCTCGTGCATCCTTTGTCTGCCCCTAAAGTATTCCTCTGCATTAAATTATTCATGATAATCCGTCTACCATCTCTCCCTGACACCGGTATGCACCTTGTGCTGTGGCAGGTATTCCCCGACCCTAGGAGCCGTGCCATATCCACTTGTAAAGATGCCTTACCCGGCAGGGGGACAAGGAGAAACTATGAGGTAGATAGGTAATTCTTTTCCCGTGGAGGGGGGAGGGGGACTTAATCAGAGAAAATCTTATGTCACCAGTCAACGGTAGGCCGAGGGTGGTGGATAGAATCACTCGGCATCGCTTCCATGTGATGAGAGCAGGGGGGCTACTAGACAACCCTGGCACAACCCTCTCTGGAACTCCGCTCCTCCCAGAACTGTCAGCCAGGATCCCATTCCAACCAATCAGGATACAGGTGGAGCATGGGAAAGCCCAGGAAGCAGAAGGGAGTTTAAATCTCTCATTTGTCAACTTTATTGCCTCTTTATCGCTTCAATTGGCCGGTATAGCCAAAGACGGTACCCAAGGAACATTTATCTGGCAGAGTGAAGTCTTCTCCTTGCTTGTCCCCATGCTAATGGACGTGACGAACCCTCTGTCTCCAAGAGCTAACGCGTTCTCCATCGCCTCGCTCATGTCAGGACCCGGTGCGGAAGCAATGTTCATGGGTATACCCCCTCTTGTCCCCCCTCAGAGGAGTACAGACTGTTACTTTGATTGGAGCCAGGGAGGAACATACCCGACTGTAAAGACAATGGAAGGTGGGTACTGTGTGGACCAAACCGTGTCATCCCCGTTCTACCATCGGCTGAAGGATGTGCCTCTTAACAATAATGTTTATGTTAAATACTTGTAACATGGTTTAGCATCTCTTTTTCAACTGATTTTATAAATAATATGTAGATTATTATATATTTCAAAAGTTGTCAGACTATAACATAGTACCTCCATCGTTACATATACACCCAAGTGCTGATGCTAATATACGGTATTTTTACCTGTAATATTGTCGGTATATTTTATTTTAATAACTATCTTCATTATCTATAAATAGTACCCTGCTGTGAATTTAGATAATTCCTTAAGATGATGATATTAGGTTGCATTGTGATAATATATCTTACATGAAATGACTTTTCTTATATTTTCTATTATTCTATTATTCTATTAAATAATGGCGACAAAAACATTTCCATAATCATAAGAAATATCTACTTAAACTAGAGTACATTGTAAAATTCCGACTATATCGTATGCATGTATTCATGAATCACCATCAAATAGTGATGATACCGGGTGTTTGCATAGGGATATGTGTCCAGATAGGTTTATGTCGCATATATGACTATGCCGCTCAATCTTTTCACATTGATTGTTCTTTTTATGTAATGTGCAATTGACTGTTTCCATATTTATTCCTTTGTAAAAGATGCAAACCATTTATCACTCCTAATAATGGCCCCATCTCCCCTGTTAGCCAAAAACTATCTGCAACCAGCGAACCATCACATGTAAGCCTCAACACGCAGAAGGAGTTCCCATTCAGTTAAAGGCCATGTTTCTAATTGAGCGTATAACGAAACAGAACATAAATGTTTAGAAATATATGTGAGGCAATCCGCGACATGTGCCTCGGGGGAAAGCAGCTGCTTTCTGGAGACGAAAAATATTTTAGAATTAGTCATGTTAGCAAGGAAAAACAACCTGCTTTTGAATTAGTGTAGGCGCTTTAAGTAAAGAACATAATTGAAGATCTCTTCAGAGGATAATTGTGATATATTGTGATTATGGGTAGCAAATTATGACACTTTTATTCATGTTTTTTTTAATGTGTTAAAATGAGATGTGTTTAAATTAAAAACAATCTTCTTTTATATCATTGTTAACGTTTGAAGTAAAGGACATGGTTGAAGATCACTTAAGATGATGATGGTGACATATTGTGATTGGGAGCATATTACGACACTTGTATTTATGATGTTGTTTTTTAATTAAAAACAGTCTTTTTTAATATCATTGTAGACGCATTCTTAAAGGACAAAAATGAAGAGTTCGTCAAATGATGTGAACAAGCATGATGGTGAAATATTGTAAATATAAGGAACCATGTTATTTCAATTGTATTTGTGCTGTTGTTCCAATTCATTTTCTGATTTGAGAAATAACTCTCCATCATAATATTTATTCCGAAATCAAGTATCTTATAACACTTATAACTGTATTTGTTTTTTTGTTTTTTTGTTGATATGAAGATTATTGATTGGATTTTTATTACACGCGTACAACAATCGTTGAGATCATATGAATCGGATGCATTGTAATTGAATTTTGCTGGACGCCAATAACTGCAGGATTGTTATTATGAAGTTTACTATCCGTATACATTACGACATAATGTGTTGTTGAAACAGATTCCACTGGGCGTAAAAGGCAAAATAGCGGTGAAAATAATATGAATGGATCACTGACAACTGAAACACATCCATAGCTGCATCTTATTATCAAAAGTGTTTTAGTCGAACTTGAAAGCTACATTGTATCCCCCGCAGTGTATCCTCGGGGTATATAAGTAAATGTATCAAAATATAATAGCACCATATACATGTAAAATGAAATACTGCTGCTATATTGGTTAAGTGTACATTTATCGCTTCCATATTTGTTGCGATTTTACCTAAAAATTGTAGATGGCATGCACATTAATAATTCCTGTTTACATGTCAGTCTTTTTACAAACTGTTGTACTTAATATTGCTGTAACAGCCTCTGTCCTTGATATTTGTATGTTTGCTTTAGACGTTAATAGAAACGTGCTCAGTGCTCCCATCCCAAACAGCGTGGTAAATTGTTAACTTATTCTATTAAAAATACCTAAATTATAACAATTGATAAATTATAATTAATTATTTCATAGTGTGGATGATAAAGCAAAAATTTAGGTTGTAATCCTGTCTATAAGGATACGTTTTATGGATTGTAAAGAACAATGTTACCATAGATACGGGATATTAACCAGCCACATCTTCAGTGGACTGATATGATGTTGTCACAAGACATGTATGCTACATTAACATGACATCAAGAGGGATTTAAGCGATTTCATCAACATCAAACTGTGTGCAAAATTATATGTCAAATCACTGTAAATCTGTTACCAGAGTGATGTAACTGCTATTGAAAATGTCAAAGATGTCACATATCTACCATCAAATTAGGAAATCCACATGAACTTAACATTTATAGCGACGTTAAAACTGTAAATAAGAAAAAGCAACCGAGAATTGTAATGAACCAGTGCCAAATTCTTCTCAACATTCTTGTATCTTTTGTTATAATTTGGCGCCAACAATTTTCAATTACAAATACGATTGGTTTTTTAAAGATAAGACAATATGTAGCGCATGTTGGCCAGGTATATTTACGATATCAAACATCAACATGGTATTCTATACCGATCAAGGAATAGTAAGTGGTGCCAAGGCTATTTGCGCTATAATACATAATGGATGTAATATAATTACTTTAGTGCAGATCACAAATGTTCGACGTATTTGTTCATTTGTGAGTAACAGATGCTACCGTAAGGGCAGGGCATGCTTATCCACCTGGTGTCAACACTGATTTTCAGTGATCTATTCAAATATTTTTCTCCGGTATTTTGCTTTTTATCACTATGGATTCTGTTTCATAGATAATGGAGACTGGTTATTCTCCGTTGTATATTTACTTCATTCTGAATTATTCATTATTAAAAGTTATGACACACAAATATCCGCAACTGAGAAATTAATAACCATTGTATCACTTGAATGCAAGGCTATTTTCGACGTGAATTAAGACGCGTGGCTTCGTATTAGAAAAGCTTACAATAAACACAACCTTAATCTGTATGATCTTGGTGAGAACAACCGACATTTCTTAAACACATATTCATGATATCGTCGGAATCGTACAATCGATTCTGCTTTTGGCAGAGATGAATATGGAAAGTCGCTTTTATTTGAGAAGATTCTATCAATACTTTCACGTGGAGGTGTTAAGTACAACGCTCTAATCAGTCAGTACGTTTGTCTTGCACTGTGTTCCCCAGGCCTGAGGAATAATCACCAGTTCGGACAGTGACAGTAAGTGGGGGTGACAGTATCCCTGATACGCGGATATTTATGTTCACAAACATACATTTGCTTCTCAGGAATACGTGGATTCAGATCTGCTGTAAATTGAAACAGCATGGTTATTTTATACTCTACGGAAGTAAAACGTTTCTTTTTTTTGTCCAAATATCAATTGTTCCATGAAATTTTATTTATTTTGGAGAATGAGAGCATGGATGTTTAGAATGATTCCAGATAAATCTTATTCTTACATTTCACTGTCCATGAACGGGGACTGCTATTGCGAGAATATATTTAGAGCGCGTATGGTTTCATTTATAGAAGACATCTAGCGTTCTTCAACTTTCACTGTCAATGAACGGGATACTGGTAGAATGAGATCATTTATACGGTTTGTGGTGAAACTTATCATTTGTTTAATACAGCACTAAAAACTAACTAAAATGACAATCTAGACATTTATTTGGTATATATAACAAGAGTATCAGATAAAATACGAAATTGAAAAATAAATAATCATTTTCACGCTAAAGCGTGTCAAGTAGTGAATAGATGACAATTGCTTACAGAAGTCAAGAGGCATGGCATGGTAAGTTGCAGTAATATCATGTATAAATCACAGTACATGATAATAATTGAAATACACTACATTGTACCCTAAAATATATTTGATGGTGTGAGATGATATGAATCGCCTTATTACATGTACTTTCACTGTCTTAAAATTGGAATGAATGCAAAATTTCTTATGTGAATAAATAATTTTGCACACTGACTAAGTTTAAAAATTCAATAGTTCTTCTATTCATGGTATGTCATGTAAATGATATCACAAATAACCTTTATGATAAATGACTATGTTTCATTCGCCAAAGGATAAAATAATGCAGACACAAAAACAGTTCCGTACACAACTTGTCTAGGACAAGCACTGAGGCCATTCAGAATAGGCATACACACTTAGAGTCTTCTGGCTTTGACCTGCTTAGATAAGAATATACTTTTTCAGGCTTATCACTTTAAAGCGAGAACAGATTGAACAAAGAAGATGCAGATAGCGATTAACAGGCCATGTTTTAACGAGTGACGATAGACTTCAAGCTACTGATGCTGGGGTTTAACATGCTTGGTCTAGAAAATGGGGATGCCGTCGCGTTTTGATTGAACGCTATTGTTTCCTTGAGACCTGGTACGGGAAAAGGTGTTCGTTGAGATTGAAGTTTCGGTTAGTTCATTGACTGATAACCAATTTTGTATATCCCAAGGTGATTTTCCTGTAGTTCTTTGTTTAATGGTGGAGGTATTTAATGAAGTACTGAATTCTTAGAGGGTACTCGCGGAGAGGAGAATGGGATACTATGTACATATTACATTATCGAATCTCCACTAAACTAACATATTAAATTACTAAAACCGTTGGACTAGAATTTAAAGAAAATGGTATTTCATTAACACGAGTGTAATGCAGTGTTCTGATTGATGTCCAATGGATGTAGCAACATATTCTACGATTTGTAAACATGATACAAGAAAGTCGGCGGGGAAGGCGGGATGAGAGAAAACGAGGAGAGAAAGGGGGTAGAGAGAGGAGAAACAACAACATGCTATGGACATTTACACAGGCCTTTGAAATACACCATCAGAAATCAAAAGGATGCATAGACGTATAAGGGTTATGGTGTATTACAGCGGACAAATGATGACTCATTCAAATTTTCAGAAACATTATATCGATGTTCATATTTCTGTATTGTTTTCCACGGTATAAATGGAGTTAATGTTAATCTGTCATGGTATGACAGATTAACTATCGTAAGATGAAAAAAAAATGGGTGTTCTTTAAATTCTTTTGAGTAATAATTATAATGTTAAATATTTGACAAAAGTAACCAACAAAGACAACACAGGTTCAGTTCCAACACGTACATATGTTAGGTATATATAGAGTGTTTTCCTGTAAACGCTAAGAGAACGAACACTTACCGAGCACATTTATGAAACAAATTGGCCCGGAGCGGGTAATGGCAACCTAAATCGGCCTACACTGACGGTGATGTCAATGTTAAGTAAATATTCCCCGTGACACAACGTATTAATTTTAATGTGGATCTTTCAACGCCACATTGTGCAGTGTCAGGCTTATTTATGCTTCACATCTGACTAAACGTGAAAGGAAGGATATTTGGGAATGGTTTGTTTATTGTTGGATAATGTATGTCCTCATAATTAGAAAATTACGCTAATTCAGCAAAAAGAATGTGTTTCGGTCCGATCTGTACAACATCAAGCACATTAATGCCAACTAATATCTTGTCATTGTTAAGTGAGTGAGTTGTGATTAGGCAACTTTTAGCAATATTCAAGCAATATCACGGCGGGGGACACCAGAAACGGGCTTCACACATTGTACCGATGTCGGGAATCGAACCCGGGTCTTCCGCTTTAACCACTAGGCTACCCGACCGCCCTTCATTGTTAACATTTCGGTTCATAAGCATTTGCAAATAAATATTAATAATACTTAATGGATATGGTTATCGCCCATCAGTTTAGGCATGCTCAAAGCGCTAACTCCAGTATTACCCCGGTCAATGGATGAACACACTCGATTCTCTTTCTCAGCTCCGTGGGGAATATACAACCCAAGTTGCCTCAATAATTCCGAAAATGCCTCTGTGGTCTAGTGGTTGAGCGTCCGCCCCCGATCCCCTGTCGCGTCATACCAAAAGACGTGTAAAGATAGTACTTCTTACCCTGCCTGGCGATCGGCAACGAATGGGCTAAAACAAGAACTGGTCGACTCAGATTCAGTATACTGTGTCTGAGAAGGGTATTTATGTTAAACTACGCCATGGTATCTCCGTGGGGTAGCACTATAGAATCGGCATCAGTCCGGACTAGTACAAACAACCACACACACACGTGCATGCACGTCGCTATATGAGTGCAATAATCTAGAACGCGACGTTTAACCCCATTTCACCTCACCTCACCTCACCTCACCTCACCTCACCTCACCTCACCTCACCTCACCTCACCTCACCTAGGATACAATTACTTGTATGGACCCTAGCAGCCAATGCTGCAGTATGCTTGCATTACATAGTACCCCTTAAGTCTAGTCCAGATATTCAAAATAACCGGCTGTCCTTATTTAATTATTGCTGAGTGCGGCGTTAAGCAACAAATAAACAATTATCCCCAAACGCAAAGAAAGAGGTATCCTTCTCAGTAATATTGAAGACAAAGATTCTCCTCTTATAACGTTGTGTGGTATCAGGTTCGACATAATCCTTGTTTGATACAGTATACAGTCGACGACTCTGATCATACGCTTCATATGGGACTGATTGCCGGTTCACTATGGAAAATGATTGCCGGTTCGAAACCAGTTGTCATCTCAATAAAAGGGTTAAACTACCATCTAAGTCCCTGAAATGAACATATCGTACAGAAAAAACAGTTGTTCAGTTATCTTAATAAAAATATAATAAAAGGGAGCCCAGTTACTCTCTTCATTTCCATACTGCAGTAATCTAGACTTGCGAAACATTATAGACTTGCATGGGCTGTAATTGATATATATTTGTATCAGGGTCTGTAAGACAGACTATAAAAGGGTGTTTACATGACGAGTTCTTAAAGAACGGAAGCATATCATCCATATGCAAAATCAATTTCTGTGGTGGGATTAAAGTCACAAAGAATTGTTTATACTGGTAAAAGAGTCTTACGCATTTTGATTGTTTTTTAGTTTTGCTATGTTGTATATAAATAGTAAAATAGGTTACTGTATATCTGGTCATCGTTCTTCAAAATTGATATTTAAGAAGTTTAAAGCCTTCTTCACTCCAGATATTGATGTTCATCATTCTGTGCTGAAGGCTAATCATATGTACGAATAAGTTATGAAATATTCAGTGTTGTCTATGCATATATACACAACAATAAATGGATTTTAGATTGACTGATAAGAACTTTTGTATATCTCAATGAGATTTTCTTGTTGTAATTCTTTGTTTGATTAAGATATAATTTAATTCATTCATTTTTTGATGCATGTATGTCCATAATATATCCTATATTGAAACATTGCAAAAACATGTAATGTTACAAAGCATCAACCTTTTTTCAATATTCAAACTGATATTTCCCGAACATGTGAGGAAATAGCAGCAACAAAGCTGGCATATTGGTAAAAACCTAGTCATGAATCATTGTAATGATGACACCAGGTGTTAGCGAAACACATGAGTATGTCTAGTAGCATTCCATTTGGTGTGCGTATGTACATTCATCACCGAGTCTACCGACAGTATAGAGTAGTGCATTGTTTGCCAACATAATCAATTCTTGAAATAACCAATTCCAAAGGATCTTTGTTGTCAGTTGCTGATCCGAAATTAGATATTCAGGTAAACAATTAACAGTCAACTGCACAACAAGGATTTGTATTTAAAATTGGTAAAACAATACACTTTATGCTCTTCAATACAAATGTGTGTGTGTGTGCGTGTTAATATGGCGTGTGTGTGTGTGTGTGTGTGTGTGTGCGTGCGTGCGTGCGTGCGTGCGTTTGTGTGTGTGTGTGTGTGTGTGTGTGTGTGTGTGTGTGTGTGTGTGTGTGTGTGTGTGTGTGTGTGTACTGAATTGGTTTCGAACGATATTTGGGTGGATGGAGAGAAGGTAGACAAACTCTAAATCACTGAAAAAATATAATTGTGACACAATCAACTCCATTTAAATTGGAGAGGAGCCCCAGTGAGATACCTAAACCTGTGGTAAATCTAGACTTGCTTCATTTAGGGCTATAACATTACAGTAAGGGTTGGGCGGAGGGGGAAGTAATATTGTTTAGGGACTGTGAGACATGCAGGATGGAAGCGTGTACTTTAACACCCATGCGTGCTAGTTTTGCTTGTATGCATATATGGCAAAGAGATAGAGGGCAAAGAACCATATCCAGGAGCCATTTCGGTGCTTCCATACAATAAATATTCTTGAATCTTGACCCTACCAATACATTTCAGCTTGTCTCCTCAACACAAACGCCGGCAGAGCGTTGTACGACGTCGCCAGGTACGATGCACAGCAAGAGCACCAAGGCTGTCGTCTTTCTTCTCATGATGTGGACGTTAACAAAAATGAACTGGATTCGAACTCGGACAAATGTGGCAGCCCTACGTCCTTGAAGTCTGAATCCCCCAAGAAACCTCTACACCCCAAGTTAGCCAATGTATCCGTGCAGCTGGAGATGAAGGCCTTGTGGGACGAATTCGACGAACTCGGGACAGAAATGATTGTCACAAAGGCGGGACGGTAGGTACAGTCAGTAGTGACTACATCTTCGATATAAACTGGGCGTGCATGGTTTGTAGATAGATGTTATTGCACGTTTTTACATATACCGTTACTGTAGAAGATATTTGGTTCATTATTCTGCCCTTGTGTTTTACCGTATTCGACGTAATAAGCGCCCAGGGCGCTCTCAAAATTAGAAATAGGGGGCTCTTATTTGAATATTATTTTGGTGAAAAAAATAGAGTTGAAAGAGAAATTTCGTGGTTTATGCTGACAGCCTGAAATGTTTATGTACGACGGATATATTTTTCCAGAATTAAATGCCAATAATTAAGTGTGCATATAACACACGAGTGCGTATTATACGCGAATAAATAAGTCTTGTGTACATTGATCAATCGGAAGGGGTGCTAATTGGGATTGTTCACTAGCCAATATCTCAGCAAATGTCGCCGTGGGCGCTTATTAGAGCGGGGCGCTTATTTCGTCGAATACGGTATATGTTTTTAAGCAAACTGTATACCTTATTCCTTTATGCCCCTCATGAGTACAATAAGTGAAGCCCATGTCTAGCTTCCGAAGTCATGGCTAAAAGCGGCGAAAAACTACACTCGCTCGCTCAGTATGCTTAACATTCAAAATTGATTTACTTTTAGTGAGATACTAGTATATAAACCTTTCTCAAGACTTCATATTCAATAACACACTAAGATCAACTTAAATTGGGTAAAAGTGAAAAAAGAAATAACAAGATATCGATCATCTTCCATTAGTTGTTTGTTATACGCAATGCCAGCCTTGGCTTAAGGTTCATCTCTCTTGGTCGTTTCTGAGAAATTAACATTGAAATTTGCAGCAGATTGTCGGGTTTAATATCTGTACAACTGTTGGATGACGGCAGTTGTACTGATACCAAACAAATATAATCTGAAAGTCACACTTGCCGTTGCAATGCCGTATGTTAAACTTGCATAAACACCAACAGGTATTAAAATATTTTCGTAGGTCTAGATCCTTGCATAATTTGACGAAAATAAAACAATTCATCCTTTCACACCTCCTGACCCTACATTTCTTAACCATCCATCACCGATTTTGGCAAGATTCGGGCACATACTTGGCTCAGTCCTTAAGAATAACAGTACTGTACTTCAATAATCTCTGGAAGTGTCTGGGTAACGGTGCCGGTATTGTTTCCATATCAACAAGGCCATGATATTGTTTTCTTTTCGAACAAACCATTACATATAAGTCACGTAATCAAACAGATAATAATCAGGCTGTAACCTGCACAGGAGCTCGGGTTCGGTTATGACGTGTCTGCACCTGTAATTACTCCTTGCGTTAATTACCCCCCGGGGGCCACGTGCCATCTCCTGGAACCTGATGATGAGCAGGGTGGGAGGATGCAACCCTGCCCCATCCCTGCTCCATCCCGGGGGTCTGGCATGTGATACAATGTTACGATTTCACACATGCTGGTGGTGATGACATAGGATTTGATTGAGCAATAAGGAGTTTCTGTTTAGGAAGTATCTCTACTTGCCCCGTGTCAGTGTTTACGTCAAACTGAAACGCCAAAGTCATTTCCGTGTTTATACTTTGCCTGAGCATCCTCAAGTCTTGAATAGAATCTGTTGTTCAAGCTCAGCGCTTCAAGAATTTTATTTATACCAGTTACGTGAGGTCATGGTTATTCATACATAAATTATAAGTATGATTAACCTATAAGCACATATATTTGGACGTTAGCTTGTCCAATTATCTACCAACACTTTCTAATTCCATTTACCTGTGCATTTCTTTAAGGGCGGGCATGCTTCTTCAAAATAAAAAACAATAATTCCTCCTCAAAAATCAAACAAACAAACAAACATAATTATTAAGTATTGACCTCTGCAGTCAAGATTGTTCACAAGATTAACAGTTTTCCACTTTTTAAAACATTATGATGACGTCACGCTATTGTTCACTGGCCATTTTATACAAATAAACCTGGAGCAACTATACGTCATTAAGCAAAATTATAGAGAAATTATAACACCAACCATAACATGATTTAATTGAGAAAAATCACTCGAATCTGTGGATTCCGAAAGTAGTATCAAGCGATTCTCATGATTTCTCCATTACAGAATTACTCACGAGAAAGGAGTATTTGATTCTCTGCATATTCCTACATCACATATTTTTTTTAAATCCTGATCCTGTAAATAATGCATTTTCTTGTTTCTGGTTGAAACCAGGACGAGTTTTCTGTTCTACTTGCTATGATGTATTTACAGAAGCAATGAACACCTACGTTATGTAACGATTGTTATGTAAGACTTTCACGCATGAACATGCATGCTAACTGTCACGATAACAGTTATTGATGCGATTCTCTGTTGGTACATACACCACAGACACATTATTCAAGTCGGCTGCTCCAAAAAACAAGGACTCGTAAATATATGACGTCAACGCCAGAGAATAACCAGTCTCGATTATCAGCCGAAACAGATTCCAGTTGGCGTAAAAGGCAAAATAGCGGTGAAAATTATATGATTGGATCATTGAAAATTGTCTGCCTCTGCTGCACGTGTCGTAGATTTGGAAGTTAAATATATCGACTGGCATTAGCTATATCCATTTCTAAATAAATAAATGTTCTTCTTAAAACCGTGGACAGCGTCCCGATAACAGTTTATAGTAATAATATTACAACATGCTCCAGGTGAAGATCATATTGTTTCAAATCTTTCCAATTCCATATTTCTGACAACGAAAACAGTAGCACTTGATTTGAATGCAACATTACATCGCTTTAGTATGTGCTTAATGTAATTACAGAACATACGATCCGTCAAGCTTCTTAATGTTTGCTCGATTCGGTTAGGTGATACGTGTACACCAGCACATCCCTTCCCCCAGGCGACGCCATGCACCACCCCCGCCCTCCCCGATTCCGACCCTTGGTCCCTGAAATTCTCCTGGGTGTTGATGCACATGCTGGGCGCTAATTGTCGTCGATTTCTCGAAATGATCTGTTTAGAATCGGCCCAATCTTAAAATGAGCCGGAACATTTGGTTAACACATGTGGTTCCAATATCAATCAATTTCACATTGCAACTAAAACCTCGGGGAAACAAACGCGATCTGCCTTCTAAAACCCGGGGGACCAGGATTTCAAAGAAGCACATGGGTGCGTCAGGCAGGACTTCGACCACAGAGAATCCAAACTTAGAAGAGCAGAATGGATATATTTTATCTTTCAATCTCCGCTAGTAAATCAAGTCAAGTTGAACAGAAAAACATTTATCTATGTTTCATTTTTCGATTCGACCTGCTCCGGAATGTTAATTTAAGTTTCATTTGTCATTTGCGGAAATTTATGGCGGCCCGTGCTTTGTATGTAAACACGGTTTGACGGCCTCTGTAGGTGGTGTTTTCGCTTGTTCTATGTTTACTCTGTGTTTATTGTGGTTCTCTAGCCACGATATACTATCTTTCCTCAAAGGGCGCACCCCACCTTACGCTAAAGTAGAAAACATTCGAAATGTTCCATTTATTGCAAATATTCGACCTCCACGATAGTTAAATGTCGTCAGAAGTAATATTCTTAAATGTTGGGTTATTGCCTTTATAACTTTCACATCAGTAAATGCGCACGATCTGTGTTTGATCTTGTTCACGTTAAGGAGAGAAAATGCTTTGAGATAAGACTTCATATCTAATGGCGATACCAGTTTCTTGTTAATATATATTTCTCTGTGCTGAAATTGTTAATGACTCAAACTATCAACAGAACCATGTCTACGATTAATAGACACAGAACACTCGGTCATGAAATGTTCGCTAGAGTCTCGTCATGGTCATTTATATGTTGACGTGCATTTACCCAAAATAATAATAATAATAATAATAATAATAAGTGCACTTATAATGCGCCAGATTCCATTCACCAAGTGGATGCTCATAGCGCTACCCTTATGATTTAACGTTTCAGTTCACGACTTGTAGACTTACCATAGACTACAATAGTTTCTTAAAATATATAATTTTGATAGAAACAAACAAATCCATTTAAATTGCAAAATGATCCCATACCCAGTGAGATTGGAGATTCTGACTTTTTGCAATCGGAGCCCCAGTGAAATGAGCGACCCTGAACCTGTGGAGAATCTAGACTTGCTTTATTTAGAGCTATAGTATTGCAGTAAGGGCTGGACAGAAGTAAAGCTAATATTGTTCAGGGACTGTGAGACAGGCTAGTCTGGGCGTAGACTAACATTAACTCTCTGAACTGAAAATAACTCATGATGATCTTTGGTCTTTTTTTTATAATAAAACATTTAATATACCGTTTTCGACGTAATAAGCGCCCAGGGCGCTCTCAAAATAAGAAATAGGGGGCTCTTATTAGAATAAAATTTTGGTGCATATAAGGATTGTCCACGAGCCAATATATTAGCAAATATCGTGGGCGCTTATTAGAGCGGGGCGCTTAACGTCTAGAAAGGCGCCCAGACATGTTCACCGTTTTCGAGAACGCCCGGTGTCATCACTGATCCATTCCTATAGTTTTCACCCTCTGTTTTGCCTTTTACGCCCAATGGAATCTGTTTCGGCCGATAATCGAGACTGGTTACTCTGTGGCTCTTACGGTTTATATACAGTTCCTATCTACACTCTTGAATCTTTTATGAATTTGGGATTTTTCGCTTTTTGTTTATTTCAGTGTTTGTATGTTTGTTACTCCTGAAGTCTGTTACGACACTGACACTCTGTCTTGTTTCAGCTGTAGACAGTCATGTAGATAATTATTTCAGCATAAACAGTCATATTAACCACGTTATGGAACTGTTACTGATCTAATATAATGTAGTATGTACCATTTGAATACATTGTTTGACCGTCTTCATATCAGAGAAGGAAAGGCAGTGTGTTATGTTGACATGTTTTCTTCAGCAACAGTTAGAACTATCGTATCTCCAATACTTTAACACAAATGTACAATATCCTTTGCATTAAATAA